GAAAGCAAAAAATTATCTAAGAAACGAATGTACAAGAAAGTCGAAAAAAAATATTTAAAAAACCGAGGGGAGATCGATTAACAAAATTGATTATATAAAAAAATATTTTTTTTACAAAAAAGAAAAAAAACAATTGGTCGGCCGAACAGGTTCGTTCATTCCAACGATGATGATAACGAGGGTTAGAAAAAAAAAGAAAAGGAAAAAAAGAGTATGGAACCTCTCGAAAATACGATTTCTGTGTGACTTAATTGTAACGAGAAAAGAAAAGAAAAAAAAAAGAAAAGGCCCTCGTATCTCATGCAACATTTTAATTTTCTTCACCACCTTCGCCACCTTCCGTAGAATCCATACCAACCTCTTCATAATCTTTTTCTAATGCAGCAAGATCTTCTCTGGCTTCGTTAAATTCACTCTCATCCATACTCTCTGCGACGTACCTGCATAAAAATCGAGAACATAAAGTAAGTATATATATATATATATATATATACATAGATAAGTACGATAACAAGAACTTCATTCATATTACGATAAAATATAATTACCAATGAACAAAAGCACGTTTGCCAAACATAAGATCAAATTTTCTATTTAATCTCGTCCAAGCTTCAGCAATGGCTGTCGTATTAGCTAACATAGCCATGGCACGTTGAACTTTAGCTAAATCACCACCCGGTACAACAGTAGGTGGTTGATAATTGATACCCACCTAAGAATGCATTAAAAAATAAAAATTGAATAATTACAAAGAGAAATATTAAAGAATTAACCTTGAAACCGGTTGGACACCAATCGACAAATTGTATAGCACGTTTAGTTTTGATAGTCGCAATGGATGCATTAACATCTTTGGGTACAACGTCACCCCTATAGAGTAAACAACAAGCCATATATTTTCCTCTACGTGGATCACACTTGACCATTTGCATGGCTGGTTCAAAACAAGCGGATGTTAATTCCATGACAGTCAATTGCTCGTGATAAGCTTTCTCTATCGAAACTATTGGGGCGTAGGTAGCCAAAGGAAAATGTATTCTAGGATAGGGTACCAAATTCGTTTGGAATTCAGTTAGATCAACATTGAGTGCACCATCGAATCTGAGGGATGCTGTGATCGATGATACTATTTGACCGATCAATCGATTCAAATTCGTATAAGTTGGTCTCTCGATGTCCAAATTACGCCTACATATGTCATAAATGGCTTCGTTGTCAACGAGGAATGCACAATCGGAATGTTCCAAAGTAGTATGAGTTGTTAAAATTGCGTTATAGGGTTCGACAACGGCTGTTGAAATTTGTGGGGAAGGATAAATAGCGAATTCCAATTTAGCTTTTTTCCCATAATCCATCGAGAGTCTTTCCATCAGTAAACTGGTAAATCCAGAACCGGTACCACCACCGAATGCATGAAAAATTAAAAATCCTTGAAGGCCGGCACACATATCAGCGGTTTTGCGTATCCTATCCAACACCAGATCTACGATTTCTTTTCCAAGGGTGTAATGGCCGCGTGCATAATTGTTCGCAGCGTCTTCTTTACCGGATATCAATTGTTCCGGATGAAAGAGTTGATGGTAAGTACCAGTACGAACTTCGTCTGTGAAATGCATTGGAGTTTTATTTGAATTATATATTAATTATAAAAAAAGGAGGGGGTATAAAAAGGACTCAAAGGTTTTCAAGTACTATTACCTATTACGGTAGGTTCAAGGTCGAGGAAAACAGCCCTAGGAACGTATTTTCCGCCACCAGTTTCGCTGAAAAACGTTTGGAAACCATCGTCATTCGTACATGCTGTTGCTGGAAGCATTCCATCGGGTTGTATACCATGTTCAAGGCAATACAATTCCCAACATGCATTGCCCATTTGTACACCACCTTGGCCGATGTGGATGGATAGCACTTCACGCTAATTAAGAGAATTTATTTTTAATCGATTGCTTAACAATTCTTATGAATTAGGATATACGTAGGATATTTGAATGATTATGGATAGGATATGGAAAATTCGTTCGCAAGCTGCGTTTTAATAAAAAATTATATTTATTAATATTGAGACACTTGATTAAACTTTAAATATTGTAGAATTATTAATATATTTTGTACCATTTTGATAGTTGTTAAATGAAATCGTATTGGAACGAACGAACGATGTTAAGTTTCGGATGTCCAAGCCAGACTGTTGTTCAGTTGTACCATGTTAAACAACTTTTGTTTCGGTTGCTGAGAGATATAACGATAGTGTTGTGATTTTTCTAACTGGTGTAACGATTGAAATTAATCTTACATTTTTGTTTTTTTCAAACGATCAATTTCATTTCTTTTTCTATATCATTTTTTTATTCATTACCATAATATAATATACATAGTTTAATTTGACATATATTTTTAATAATTATTTTGTAATAGTACAAAGTTTATTAATATTTAATACAAGTTCAAATTGACAATAGTAATAGACAAGTACATTAATATTTATAATAGTGATTTATAATAGTAAACAAATGATTTAATTTTGGTCAAATGACTACTGGCCCTGTTGGGCAAATTTTTTATCAGCCTCAAAACAGACGAGGTGGCCGAGAGGTTAAGGCGTTGGACTGCTAATCCAATGTGCTCTGCACGCGTGGGTTCGAATCCCATCCTCGTCGATCTTATTTTTTTTCTATTTTTTTATAAACATTTCTTACTATAATATGTACTATTTCCTATACCTCTTTTTATATTCATTATTATTATTATTATTATTCAAGCTTCTAATAATATTATCAAGTAATTAAAATATGAAGAATATTTTTTTACGAAGCTTCCCATAACTTTTAAAACTCATGCTTGGCCCGTGGTTAAAAAGATATTTTTTAATTTGTCAATCGATAAAATATATTTTATTATTTAAAAAATACAATATATTATATCTTATATTTACATTAATTGCAGTCATGCAATAATATTGTTATTTTAAATTATGTTAGATCTTGTTTGCGTACACACATACTCTCTCATATTATCATATATTCATATTACATTTAATAAATATGTGGTATATATATTCTATATAGCGTTAAAAAATATATATATAAAAAAAAAAAAATATGTAAGGCACTAGTATCCCTGATTTTAGTTACAAGTCGTCGTACACACGAGATTAATGGCAGTGAAGAGATTAAGAAATGATAATCTGAAGCGTTAGATCATTAAAGCATAATCAAATATTTCTTGATATCAACGAGCACGTGAAATTTTTTTGCTTTTATCATTTTCGATTGGTGGTGGCGGTCCTTTAGCGTTTTGATGTCGACTGTAAACGCTATAAGAAAAAAACAAATTAGCATATTTAAACATTTTAAATCATTTGAAGGGGTTTATAAATATTTCCTAAATTCATTTTACTTACTATTTATATGTTTCAGAACGAATATAATCTATTACATGAGAAATACCGACTTGTAATTGATCTGCAATTGGTGTTACCCAAGGATTAAATTCCATTCTAAATACAGCTTTGTTGCTCACTAAATCCAAATTTCCTGTTTGTGTGTATGAGAAAAATAAATTATATATTTTATTAATGACATAGAAAAAATGATTATCTAATTTTTCTCAAAATGTTTTTGCGCATACCTAATTCTGGAGGTAAAACTGTTAAACGATTTCCTTGTATATACAGTTCTCTTAAACGACTCAATTCTCCAATTTCCTTTGGTAATTCAACTAGATCGTTTTCTCTTAAAACAAGCTACAAATGAACAAAATTAAAGAAATATTTATTAAGTTCTTTTATCATTTGTGTTTCATTCGCACTAACGATCAAACTATAAGTAAAAACATCATCTTACAATTTGAAGATTCTTTAATTGTCCAATTTCAGGTGGTAAATATTCAAAATCATTATCAGCCAAGTAGAGAGCTCTCAAAGTTTCTATAAAATTAATTTTGGCATTGAATTTTAAAAAATTATCGCAGGTATCGTATGCATTGTACATTATCGATCTTTAAATCGACGCGGTAAATTCAAATTCAATCTTACCCATCATAAAAAAATTTCCAGGTAAATTTTTTTCACTTAAATTGTTATATGTCAGATCTAAAACTTCTAAGACTGGAAAAGCACCAAATCCACGAGGTAATACATCTAATCTGTTCATTCTGTAAATAAAAACATTAGATAGATTTATTAATTAGATTTAGAGATTAATAAACAGAAGAATTTTAATGGTGGCACATACCCCACGTTAAGGATTCTTAATTTTGGCATCTGAGATAAAGAAATAGGTAATTCGGTGATATGATTATTAAAAAGATTCAATATCTCCAAATTGACTAAATTAGCCAAGCCTGGTGGTACCTCTAAAGAATATAATAAATTAAACAACTATTTAAAAATGGTATTGATTATAAAATTTATTTCTTACCTTGTATTTTATTATGGCTCAATGATAATCTGGTAATATTGATCATATTAACTGCAATCGATATAATATAAGATTAACTTTATTATTTAACTATTATAAATCATATACGTAATATATAAATACATATATTAATAGATTAACATATTATATGGGGGATTATTTTTGGCTTGACTACATTCGAATAATATTTTTAAAAATCGTACATTTTACTGTTATAACAATAATATTTTATAACATGACATCTTTCAAAAAAATATCTTTGCACATAAACAAAAGCTATATATAAAAAGAAATAATGTGTTAGTATAAAATAAATATACTGAAAATTTTTGTTTTTCAGGACATTATCAACGATTTCAAATTTGGCGCGTGCGCGCGGTAACGCCTACACGACGAGCTATGACACACGACCGTTCCCAAACTCGTTGAGACGAAAAAAGCAGTCACGACTAGTTGCCTAATTTGGCAAAAGAGCTTATGGGAGATACAGCGTGAAAAGACTCACGCAATCCTGGCATCTCCTCGAACGATGCAATGCCCTTGTCGACGAGATCCAGTTCAGGATTTTGAATTTCTCGTGCTTCATCGAGCACTTTCTTTGCTTTTGACATCTTGCCCGCAGGAATACACGATACTGGTGCTTGATTCATTGCGCGCGCAATCGTTTCCGCACACACGTCAGAAAGTTTTAAATAAAACCATATATAATGACTTTGTCGCTGCTGGAGCTGTGACTATTCACAATTCCTTACTTAGGAACTTCCTAGGTATATTACCGTTATGGTTAAATTCTAGTTCACGTTTGCGCGATAGCTTTCTATTCTGATTGGTCAAACCATCACGCGGTAAATTTAAAATCCGTTTTTTATATTTCATTGAAATCATTATAAATAAATATATTAATGTTCGATTAAATGAACAAATCGTTGATATATTCTATGATAAATAGAAAAAGAACAAAATTAATTCTCTTGTTACATATTAATACTTTAATTGTATGAATTAAAATCTATCTCAGTTAATGGTTAATCCGAATTCATTTAGCACGTGTATTGTTCGTGGTGTGATAGACATTTTTGGCTTATAACTTTAACGAAGATCATATTGTAGATTGTATAAAAAATAAATCTTATATTAATTGACTGTTCGTTAATTGAAACTTGTCATTATGACACAATTTGGAAACGTGGTATGTATATTTTAAAAAGTAAAATTATACAATTATGGGATGCTACGTATTTTAACCTCTTTCAGAAAAGTGTAACATTAATAAGATGTTTATGTTTATGTTTATGTGTATGTGTACATAGGCTAACATTTAAATTTAATTCTAAGGGTAACATTATTGTGTTGTAGACAGCTGATCAACTATTAACTGGTTCTAGTGTACTTTCTAAACCAGCAGAAGAATTTGAAAACGATGTGAGTAAAATAAAATAATAAAAATAAATGACTTTCTTTAAAATGTTATATTTTTTATATTTATTTTCAGCAATCGGTGGAAGCAATTTGGACAATGGAAGTAATAGAACACACAGAAGTTTATTTCAATGTAAGTAAAAGGTTATTATTTCAAAAGTAAAAAAGAAAACAATAACTCTTTTGTGTTCTAGCTTTTATGTTCTGTTGATCCTAAACATCTGAAACTTACGCCCCACGATGATCACATTTATAAAACATTTCGAGAAACATTTCCAAATCTTAAAGTAGATAAAATAATTGAAGATGAATTTAAATCAGAAGAAGAAAAGCAAAAATGGCGTCCCTTCTGTGAACAATTTAAAGATACAGTTGAGGATTATAATTTTGGAACATTGTTAAGAGCAGATTGTGAAGGAGAATATTCAGAGGAAAATAGTATATTAACAACAAGAATTCAATTCTACGCAATTGAATTAGCAAGAAATAGAGAAGGTCTCAATGATGGTATACGAAGCAAATACAAAAAAAACAAATCATAATATTTAGCTTAAAATCATCATAATATTCTTATGTGGAATTTACATTACAATGAAATTAAAAAAAAAGTACATAATTTTTATACACTCATCATTATCAGATTCAACAATTTAATAAAATGTTACTTATATATCAGAATTAGGAATGGAACATATTATTTTATATAAATCATGCATTAAAGTAATGTAAATAATTTTATGCTGACTTTTTCTGTTTCTTTAATGCTAAGCTAATGAGAGGGTTTAATGCACGTGCTTGATGTCTCGATTTCACAGCAGTAGAAGCAGTTGACGCTAATTCTCGATTGAATTTTCGTTTTCTTTTTCCCATTCCCATTAAACCCTTCAGGGTAGGTGGTACTATATATTCAGGTACATTCTTTAAATGCGGTTGCAATTTGACTGTATGTAAAGCTTTGTCTTGACGTAATGATTGCAAATCTTTTGGATTATCTTCGAAATAACTTTTCAATTTTTCACAATTCAATACTTCTTGTTTGATTTCTTTCAAACGTGCTTCGCGCACAGCTATTCTAGTTACAGCTTTCCATGCATCTTTAGCACGATATCTAAAACCTTCGACTTCTTCTAATTTAAATTGATAAGTTTTGAACAAAGAATCTCGACCATAGCATTCCTTCAATTCTTTTTCTACTTCTTCGAGTAAAGGTCTTTCTCTTATTGATATGAAACTTAAAGCTGTCCCTTCATTCTTTCCTCTTGCTGTACGACCCGCTCTATGTATGTAAGAGTTAACATCAGGGGGAAAATCGAAATTTATTATATTTGATACAAATTGAAAATCTATCCCCCTAGCTACACCCGATTCCTTATCTTTTCTTCTCTTTCCTTTTTTAACTTTTAATAAGTGTTCCTGAAAAGAAAAAAATATAAATGCATCGATAATTAGAAAAGTGATAAAAACTTTAAGTTATCATATAAAATATATTTAAAAGAATTACCTCATCTAAAGATTTCTCATCGGATGCAATTATTATGTCATATGTTCCACAATTAAATTGTGTAATAGCCCTGCATCGAGAAACTGCAGGTAATTCAGAATTAAGTACGCAAGTTGGTATTCCAAATTGTTCCAAAAAGAGCTTCAATTTATAACATCGATCAACAGTGTTTACAAATATAATAGTTTTTCCTCTGCAAAAATAAAGAATCTGTTATTCGCGATGATTTTCTTTATATAATTGTAGTATATTTCTTAATAAATACCTAATCAAATGTAATTTCAATAAAGCGTATAAAATAGCAGCTTTATCACTTTCTTCCGCAGCTAAACTATAATGTGCTAATTGTGTTGGAGGAGCTAATGGAGGTTCTTCTAATTTTAAAATGGCTGGATTATGTAAAACTAATTTTTTCAATGTTAGGACATCTTCGGATAATGTTGCAGATGCTAACGTAGCTTGATAAATTCTTGGTAGATAAGTTAAAATCTGTTTCACTTCTTTTTCATAACCAAAGGAAAAGACCTACCAAATAAAAGAAAAATTTATTACTTAGTATATTAATATTGTTTAAAGAATTATTTTTATATATTAAGTTGATTCTTACCAAATCAGCTTCATCTATTACCAATGTTTCCAGGCTATGTTTTAAAGAAAGATTACCAGCTTTTAAATGTTGCAACAATTTGCTAGGTGTAGATATAACAATATCTGGCATTTCTAGTAATAATGATTTTTGAGCATCTAAACCAATCTGAGGACTAATATTAATGGGTCGTACATCTCTACAACATTTTATTGTAAGATCTACGAGCACTTCGTATATCTGTTTACTAAGTTCTTTACTAGGTGTCAGAATCAAACCCTTAATTTCTTGCTTCGTTTGAGTTTGTTTATTAGACAATATCTTTTGTATTAATGGAATTGCAAATGCAGCAGTTTTACCCGAACCAGTTCTAGCTCTGATTAAAACATCTTTTCCTTCCAACAATAACGGTATTGCTTTCTCTTGTATTAATGTAGGTTCCTTCCAACCTAATTTGGCAATAGCCTAAAAATAAATAAAATAAATAAAAAATAAATAAAGAGAATTTCATTAAAGAAATGTATATATTAAATTACTACACATTTTTACACTGAACCTAACTAAACATAACCTCTAAAGCACATTTTTTATATTTCATTAGCTATTTACCTTTAAAATTCTATCATCTAATCCAAATTCATGAAAATTTATACACTTCTCTTCATCTTCTTCAATTAGATCTATTTCAGTCGAAGTCATGATTAATATTTATTATAAAACAAACTTAACACAAACTCGAAGGATGACCACGTGTGTTTACAGCACGTGACATGTAACAGACGATAAGGTAGGAAATGTCCTTAGCGACATTAAATGCATCAGCAGTTTGAACTGATTAATCTTGCTGCATATAATTAATGATTTTACTTATTCTTAGATACTTTTAAAGAATGAAATATTTATTAAAAGTAAATGTTTTATTGCAAAATAATATGTAAACAAAAATATTAAAACGTAAAAAAATAGTACAAGTTACAAATCTACATGTAATCTTAATATGCGATGTCATATGATGAAATCTAAAATAAATGAATATTAATAAATATAAATTATTCGTTTTGTATTGTTACAAAAATTAAAAAAAAAAAAAACGGTTAATAACCAATGAACATTTAAATCGCCATTTAAGGTAGTACATCATTTACCATTGGTCTAGTGAAAAGATCCACCAATTGTGTAAGAGCGCACTTTTTAAAATTTCAATGAAGAAACTTTCTTTCGGCATGTCACGGAATAGATTAAGACCGCGATTTCGAATAATACAATAACAAAAATGTGTAATTCCGTTTTGCAATATGTACGCGAACAATTTCGAACTTCCGTAGCTCTTAGTAGAAAAAGAAAAAGAATAGGAAAGAATACAAAATTCGGAAAATGATCTGCAAAATTCAATGAATCTATTCGAAGGGAATAAACTTTGAATAGAACTTTATCGAGAAAGCAAAAAGTTAGGTACAATAGAATATTTGCAAATGGCTTAAAAATAACACATTAAGAATGACAGGCTGACAGGACAAGTAGAAAAGGAATAGGAATAAAAGATAGAAAAGATTTTTATTCCTAAGGTGTGAAATATTGGAAATTGTTGATCATTTAAAGTAGCGAAAATTGTTGTATGGCACATGACAAATCGAATTTGCGAATATAGGCGAGAGAGTATATCGAGGGAAGAAAGAGGGCGTTGCAAAAAGATAGGGGGTATAGTATCAATGGCATGGGTTGAGAAAGACCACGTCCCTCAGTCGTAGGATGGCAGTCAGCGCGTGACGATAGTGGTGGATGAACGGGAGCATCGTGCTGACACATGAAAAGAGACGGATGTTTGACATCGTTCACAGCCGCGTTTACGCGCTGTCACATGCGGGAGAGTGCTTCTATGTGTGCCTCTATGTGTTATTACGTCGTGTGCGTGTGTGTGCGTGTGCGTGCAAAACGACAATAGCCGAGTAACGACGAGACGACGACGACATAACGCGACGGTTTCAACGTCATTTTTAACGTTCAAGTAAATTCGGAAAGAAAAAGAAATTTTCAAAAATTAATATCAATAATAAAGATATAACAACAACAAGAAGAACGGTTATCATCATAGGACATTGTCCCTTGTCAATGTCAGTCGTTGTCATAACGCGACGAAACGGATAAGTTTAAAAGGCAAGGAAGTTTTTTAAAGAAAGGGAAGAAAGAAAGGAAGAAAGGCAAGAAGAAAGAAAGAAAGAAGGGCGGTTTAATGGGTCCGCAAGCATCGTCGATAATACGGTCGCATCGCGAAGGAAGACGCGCGCACGATCGCCCCCTCGCGTAAACGAACGCTACGCCCTATTCGTCTCGTCTTTCCTCTCGGTTCGTCTCGTCGAAGGTCGGCCGACGTCGTCGCGACGGACCGCGCCGACGGATAAAACGTTTCGTCGAAGAGCCGTGGGAATCAGCCGGCGGAAGGAACAGCGCTGCGCCGTGTGTAGTTTTATACTCAGAAAGAGAGAGAGAGAGAGAGGGATCAAGAGCGAAAGAGAAAGAGAGGTAGAGAGATAGAGAGAGAAAGAGAGAGAGAGAACGATCTTTCGCGAGGACAAAGACGAAGGAAGACGAGATGCTTGAGGCTCGTACAAAGCTTTCGTCTGGACGAAAACGGTGAAGGGTCCCTTTAAGAGAAAAGGAGAAAACGTCAGAGGGAGAAAGAGTTTTAGAAGAAAGGAGAAGGAGGAGAAAGAAGAAAAGGAAGAGGTGGAGAAGGAGAAGAGAAGGAAGAGGAAAACGTAAGAACGTGACGTTGGATTGCCGGTGGGCGAGGCAAAGAGGAAAGGACCGAAGAGAGATAGAGATAGGCTCACTTTCTCGGTTGTTCTCTCCTTCGGAACGCGAATTTTTTTTTGTCGAATATGCGATAACGCATGTACCCACGACGACTTGGTAAAACTAACTTCTCACGAGGAGGAGGGCTTTCCTCGGAGTTGGATATAAGTTGTTGGTCCAACCCTTGGGTATCACCCTCCTGACGTGACATAGATCCGACTTTGCTGTCGTCTACGCCGTCGTTGTCATCGTTGACATCCTCAATCGTTGTCATCATCATTGTTGCATTCGAGTGCATCCTGACAGACGAAAGAAAGAAAGAGCCAAAGGAACAAGATTTGAAATTACTTCAAATTTTTCGCCTAAAGGAACCTCGGCATTGTCGTCGTCGTCGTTGTCGTCGTCTTCGTCGTTGGCTTTGTAGTCGTCGTTGTAATCGTAATCGTTACGGCCACGACGATTCCGCGAGGATTAGGCAGGCCGCGTGGGCGGAGGGTGCCTTTGTGGGTGCCTCGGTGGACTACGCGCGGAAGGTGACATCGGAAGAGGAAGAGAGGAAAGGAAAAAGAGAGAAGAGAAAAGACGAAGTATCGTTCGTCGTTGACACGATGAGAGCATAGCGAGCAAAGACGAGAAAAAGGACGCGCGACCGCGCATTGTCCTATTCCCCTATTATATATATATATATATTATTATTATATATATATATATATATATATTTTCTAGCCTCCTCCTGCTCCTTCAGATAGGAATATCCTTCTCTCTATCTCCCTCTTTTCAAGATGGCCGCCGCCTGCTACGAAAAAGAATCGGTGGTAGGTGGTACGACGATGCATGGCCACGGTCATCACCATCATCACCATCATCATCATCATCACCATCATCATGCCGTTAATTCGAATTGCGGTACGCCCGGGCAGACGGTTCTACCGGCCGGCTCAAGCGGTATTCTTGATGCCGTAGCCGCAGCTGCTGCTGCTGCTGCTGCCGCCAACGGACCCGGCTCGAACCCGGCCGCTGCAAGCGGTGGTACCGGCACCGCGGCGACGGCTGCAGCAGTAACCACTTACAAGGATTACAAGGACTATTCCCAACCACTTCACGTCGATTGCAGCGTCGAGTACGAGCTACCGAGCCAAGCGAAGCCACCGCCCGGTGGTGGCGAGCCCTTGCTCATGATACACCCCTGCTATTATCGACGAGCCGAACGAGAAAGAAGAAGTCCTTTCGTCAACAATCTACCACCACCAACGAACACCCACTCGATATCCTCCTCTTCTTCCTCGAGAAGGATCTCTAGGCGTACCACCGCCTCTTCAGCGACTTCGGCAGTCGCTGCGGTTGCCTCAGCAGTAGCAGTACCAGCTACCGTCGTATCATCCGTTTCTACCTCCACCGTTTCCTCGAGTTCTGCATGTACCGCCGCGATGGTCGCACCGAGTACCGAGGCTCTCGGGACAAGCCTTATATCCTCGACCAACGGCCAGATGTCTTCAGTTGCCGTGGCTGCCTCCTATCGAGCCGCTCTTAATGCCGCTGCTGCGGTTTCTCAACAGCAGGCTCAACAACAACAACAGCAACGACGCCACCAACATCAGCAGCAGCAACAACAGCAACACACGCTTCATCATACTCAGCATCGAACACATCCAACTCATCCGCTGCACCAACAGCAACAACAACAACAGCAACAACAACAACAGCAGCAGCAACAGCAGGTCCAACAACAACAGCAACAACAACAACAACAGCAGCAGCAGCAATCTCAAAATTCGATTACGCCGACAACTTCGGCTTCCGACCTCATTTCTGCCGACGAAAAGGCAGTTATATCAGGTATTTATCAACACTACTTCCGGGCGATGCGAGCCCATAACCATCAGCATCGACAGCAACAACAACAACAGCAGGTCCAACAACAACAACAGCAACAACAGCAGCAGCAGCAGCAGCAACAACAACAACAACAACAACAACAACAGCATCATCATCATCGTACTACGCATCAACTTCATCAACAGCAACCTCACCAAAGCGACAGAAGTTCCTCCTCTTCGTCTGCCACGTCAACGACCACTTCGGTATCCGGTATCCTACGGCCAAGTTATCAACAAGCGTATAGCGTATCGACTAGCTCGAACTCATCGAGTCATCATCGTTCAGTTACGGCGTCCGTCCTAGCGCATCATCCTTACAGGCGACCAACCTCGACATTATTATCGCGAACAACGTCGCATCTCGGGCAGCAGGCTTCCTCTTCTTCCTCTTCCATAAACTCGTCCACCATCAGTGCTTCCAACGGCGTAACGTCCAGTGCCGTTTCTAGCGTGTACGCCGGTGCGATACATAGGCATCACGCGACCTCATTGCATGCCCTTCAAGCGGCGGGCTTCTACGAGACGCCCGGTTATCACGCTCTCCTACCCCAAAGCTAGACAATCGAGAACGGCTTCTCTGATCAGCCAATGCGTCGTTCATTCGGAGAATCGATCTCTCCTTTTGACGCCTCTAACCTCTTCATTCCGGTATCGTGAAAAGGTAATCACAAAGTTGTCCCTACTCCTCCTCCTACTTCAGAAGAAGACCCAACCCTCGTCATATTCCCACCCTCCTTAACGTTTCACCCTTGTCAACCTTATATTCCGTATCTCGTTGTAATTTTCCAGGACGGAGAGCTTAAGCTCACAACAGCTGGTAATGGTCGACCGGGTAGACGGAAAAAAGATGACGTGTAGTGTAAATGTCCTCGAAAATGTTAAAAAGAGAAAAAAAAAGGAAAAAAGAAAAAGAAAAGAAAGAGACAGAATGTGTTATAGCGAGAGACAGCTGAAATGGTTGACCCTGTGTGGATCGAACGTTTCCATCCACCTGCAGTCTTTTTCTCTTTCTTTCTCTCTCTTTTTTTCTTTTTAAACATCATCGTTCTCTATTGGCATGGCTCAGGTACTTGGAAGATGCTGTTTGCACAAGAAAGAGGAAGAGGGAATGAAAGAAAAGAGACCTTAGGAAAGAGAATTCTCGTTGAATCTCTTTGGCAAGAGCTTTTAGCTCGCGGCCCCCCTCCCTCCACCCCGCCTATACATATACACATCTCTCTTCGTTCTGGCTGTGTGTGTGCGCGCGCGTGTGTGTGTGTTATCCGCTTTGAAATTCGACGTGCCGTCACGGCCGAAGACCGACGACGAATATCCTCGTCGTTCCGCGAACACGGTAATCGTGTAACCGTATCGATTTCCATGGCTTAGGCAGTATTTCCACCGGATTTCGCTCGGTCTACTTTCGCACAGAGAAATGATGATCGCGCTCGTTCGTCCCTTCTACTGTCGTCGTCCTCGATGAAATTCTGAACCTTCTCTTTTCTTCCTTTCTCCTTCTATTTCCTTTTTTTTCCCCGTTTCAATTTAAATCACCGACAAAGTCTTTTGAAAAAAGGAAAAGAATTGAGATTCCTTCCTTCGTTCAAAGATTCTATCAATTTTCAACTGACTCATATATATGTATATATATGTACAAAAGATCGTATTTAATAATTTACAATATTTTAATCAACATGTATTATAATTGAAATTGACCGTAGTTAACGAAGAAACACGTTAAATAATAGCAATCTTATAAATAAAAGAAACTACAATATAATTTTCAAAGAACTAGAGAAAAATATAAAAGAGGATTGCGAAATGAAGATAGAACGCGTGAGTTCTAAACATGCTACTAAAGCAACTTTCAGAATTCTTCGATCGGTTTCTAGGAATCGATCATGCTAGATTAGGGCGGTGAGGAGGTTGGTTAGGAGTAGGGTGGGGGAAGGAAGGAGTAGAGATAGATGGAAGAAGAAGGTGGAGGAAGGAAGAACTAAAAGTCGGGCTTCTTTTCTTGACGTGTGCCGTTCGATTTTTAGCCAGTAAGAGAAAAAAAGACACATAGAAGATTTCTAGGAGATAGAAATAAGCTTGTATAATAGTGTAGGAAGGAAGGAAGGAAAGAAAGAAAGAAAGAAAGAAAGGAACTCAGAAACTCAGACAGAAAGTAAGAAAGAGAGAGAGATAGGAGACGAAAAGGACCGCGACTGCGCCGGTGGAACGTCGCAGCAGTCAGTAGGTACGCCCGCAGGCATCCTTATCCGTTCTCCTCGTTCTACCAAGACGACGTATCTCCCTAGAAAGCCGAGACGGTCTTGGATTTCTTCCTCCACCACCACCACCACCACCTCCTCCTCATTCTCCTGCTGTTCCTGCTCCTCTCGCTTCTCTTGCTTCTCTTGCTCCTCCTCCTCCTCCTCCTCCTCTTCCTTCTTCTTATCCTTCTCCTACTTCTTCCTTATGCTCTTCTTCAGCTATCTCTTTTTCTTCTTCTTCTTCTTCTTCTTCTTCGTCTTCTTTCTTTCATTCTTTCATTATTTTTTTGTTTCTTTTCTTCTTCTTCTTCCCTCCGTCCTGCGCCCTTTTTCAAAGAGCGCGCTCAAGGAGAAACGGATGGCGGGGACCGTATTTCGTTACACGGTAACGATCGATCAACGTGACCGCACGACCGCACTGGCGGTATGGCTGAGCCGAGGCGAAACCAGACGAGAGAAAGAGAGGGAATATACCGGGCCCCGACAGGAAGGATAGTGAGATGGAGAGATGGGGGTGTGGTTGAAAGAAAGAAAGAGAGAGATACATTATTGATGCAGATAGAATGAGCGAGATAGACGAATTCAGACAGACAGGAACATTCAGGCTGACTGAAGATAGAGACACGTTTAGGCAGAAAGAGAGAGAAAGACATATTTAGATAGAGTAAAGAGAGAATTTGATCAAAAACGAAACCCCTGACGAAACCCAGAGCTTCCCGAACCCAGACCCTGGCATATGCAACAACTTTGTATTCCAAAAACACCAATCCGCATCCTCCTTGCACACTTGCGCGGCACCGGGGGTCTGTCTGTCTGTCTCTCTTTTGCCTTTCAGGATAAGAAACGTGACAGCGCGTATTATATTCTTTTTGCTATTCGAGACATACTCCTGCGTATCAACGCACAACGCAACGCCGTTTCCGTTTGCTTGTCTTTCTCTTTTTCTTTTACTCGTTCTATCTATCTGCCTGTTTGTCTGTCGTCAACAGTTTGGTTTTTGCTCGATCAGAGCGGTACTTTATCGATCGTTATATACGTACTACTCTTCTCAACTTCGTGTATGTTTATCTATGGGTAATGTGTGTATGTGCGCGTGCCGACTTCGTAAAACTCGGTAAAACACATGGTATTGGTGGGTGGGCGGTAGTTGGTAGTGGTAACGCTGGTGAGAAACTTTTTTTTTTCTCGGATCTATTACGTTTTCACTGGCTTCACGTTTTCTACGAACTTATCAATGATTATAAAAAAGAAAAAAACGGAATCTCGTATCCGATGGTGTACTTTTCTTTTATATATATATATATATTGTATAATATTTGATTAATTTTATCGTTATTATTTATATCTCGACACGGAATATTTAGTTTATTTAATCAATCCCGAATCGAATTTTTGTCGAACGTGCTTTAAAATTTCGTTTTCCCCTCCAATTCGCGAGAGAGGAATGTGTGACGTTGAAAGTAAAAGAGAAGGTATAAAATGAATAAAAAATAAAGAGCAACAAAAAAGAAAACTCCAAAAACAAAAATAGAACAAAATTAAATAAAAATATGAGAAGGGAAAAAGAAAAGAAGAGAAGTGAAAAGAAAAGAGAGAGAGAGAGAGAGAGAGAGAGAGAGATAGAACGTTTCCATAGACGGCATGGAATTTCTGCGGTATACGCGAGCTGAACAAGGTCCGCTTTGTAGAAGGAATTCAAGTTGGTTGGAGGGGTTGGTGCTGTAAAGAGGAGGACATCTAACGTTGTGTAAACTTCGAGAGGTTACAAGAGTAGCGCGGTAGAGACGTGACTGTAATTTCATTCAACCTCCTCCTATGTATGTATGTAATGTATATATGTACAATATACGTCTCTATATGCATACATATACATATAAAAGTAGTCTCTTCTCGCTAGAGTCATGCTGCTCCACGTTCTAGATCGTTGTTCGTGTGTTGATTCCATCGAAGATTTCAGTTAGAGATCTAGGCCTTTTCTACGTAAAACATTTGACGTATAACATGCTAGTGAATATATTGAAATGAAAATTTATTGGGTAAAGAGGAGAATGAAAGAAGAGAATAATTCGACTCCTTTTGTGATATTTCTGTTTTATTATTATTATTATTATTATTCTCCTCTTTATTTTTAAATCTATTTTTAAAAATAATTTTCCTCGCACATGGCTTAATATTAAAGAGTGTGTGGAATTTTAAAAGTAAATTTGTTAAAAGCAAGCTATACGATATGGTTTTTTATTTTTTTGTTATTGCGAATCACGCGACAAGGCACGAATCGGGATTTGCAGTCTTAGAAACATGAGAGAAGGAATATTGTTGTTACATCACGGGGTATATTGGAATCGTGTGCTGTTGCAGCTTGGTGCGTGTTCGAGAATAGTCACGTGCATGCAGATCGAATCATAAAGAAAGGAAGAGAGAAAGATAGAGAGAGAGAGAGAGAATTATAGGATGAAATCTTTTATTCAATTGTATCAAGATAATACGTATAATAATTAACAATAATAGGATTAAGAGAGAAAGAGAGAGAGAGAGAAGGAAACAGAAATAGATTGAACAAAGAGAACATCGTTCTTATCTATTATTTGAACACCCCCATTATACGGGAAACTACTACTTGTATATCTAACCCGATTTGTTTTATTTTTCTTTATATTTTTTCCTGTTTCTTTTTTTAACAAGCCGATCGTAACGGAGGGATGCATTTCCTGTTCGAAATCGAACGGGATGGCCGAGGTTAAACGTTCGTCCGCCGACATTTACTCGACGATGGAAGAAGGAAGAGGGAGCGAGCATTATCGTATCTCGTTGAAACCCCCGTTGAACTCGTTATATAATATGACGTCGACATTAGGCAATTAAGAGAGTAACTGTGTATTATTCCACGTATGTACGTATGTATTTATGTATATACGCATACATGTATATGCATGTTTTTATATATATATATATATATATACATTGATATATCTAACGTACGTAGAAGAATAGACGTTTGTTGTTCGCAAAGGTTTCACAGTGGGTCGTGACCTCGACTTTGCCTCTTTACAAAACGTGAATAAGAGCCCACACAACGGGTTCCCTCTCTCTCTCTCTTTCTTTTTCTTAGAATTCAACGATGAAGACTCTGCATAACCATCTTCGTCATCGTTTTCGAGTTTCAAGTCTACTATCTCTTTCGCTTATACTTTCTTCCTCTCTCTCTCTCTCTCTCTTTCTCCTCCCTTTCTCCCACCCACCTTCTCTCTCTCTCTTTTTTTCTGCTTTGCTATACAGATATATGTAAGAAGTGGGTTTAACGTTTATGAAATGTTAGCTTCGTAAGAGTTGACTTTACGTTAGCAAATTTTCGTTTGGTTTGCTATCGTTTTTGAGAAACATACTGACGGATAGATAGACATACACATAGATAGATAGAGAGTGAGAGAAAGAGAGAGAGAGATAGTAATAGCTTAAGATCGTTACAAAGTAAGCGGGGCGAGTCAAGTCGTAGCGACGTGATGTACGCGGAGAACCGTAATGAGTTTTTGCGGCTGGTCTCGAAATTAGACGCTACGCCTCCGTCGAAAAGCATTTCGTTCCTGGCACTTACCCTCGGCTGACTCTCTCTCTCTCTCTCTTTCTCTCTTTTTCGTTCTCTGTCTGACTGTGTCTGTCTCTGTCTATCTTTCACGTGGCGTAGCATTTCCGTCCTGCTGTTTTTGCTCGTCCGTAGGGAACGAGTCTCTCTCTCTCTCTCTCTTTCTCTTCCTCCCCCTCAGCTCGCCTCACCACCTCTCTTTCTATCCATCTCGTCGTTCGAAGCGTGGAAAAGCGCCGTCGGACACCGGGCATAATTATTTCAGTTTGCGAACGCTGACGTTGCACGTTATTCGAAACCCATGGTGGTGGTGGTGGTGGCCGGCGGTCGATGTTAAAAAGCCTCGAAGAAAGAAGGAAGGTGGTATCGTCATGAAAAAAAATTTCGCTTCCCTTCGAAAGGATACGCCCGATAATCACTATGAAATTTCACTTGGAACGATCGAACGTATATATATATATATACTATTTTATAATAATATATTTGATATCGTACATTGGATCTTACTTTGTCTCTTACTTTTTCTTTTATGTTGTTTCTCTCTTGTATAGATTGTACATATTATATTTTAAGTTTTACTTGTGTGTGTATATAGATAGATAGATATATATATAGATATTAAATTGATCTATTATATTATTCTTATAAATGAAATTTAATTGGTTTGTTTTATTTTTTATGTTACTCTAATTTATATTATTAATATTAAAAAGGAAATAATTAATTATTATATATAATTAGTCTTTTTTTTTATTTAAGATTATACATTAACACGAATATTTTTACAAATAAAAAATTCCCTGTCTTCTGATAAAAAAAAAAATAAAAATGATATTGAGGACAGAGATGATTAACCATACAATCTTTGGAGTTTTGCAAATCGTGATTTTTTTTTCTGTTAACCCTATGTATACTACAAACCTGGATAATAATGCGATATCATTCGTAGTCCTCTCTCTTTCTCTCTTTCTCTCTTTCTCTTTCGTGTTCGAAGAATTTACGAATAAAATACGTGGACGTTGAGTCTTCGAACATGTCGGATCTTCTTCATCCATATGTCATGCCAACATGAAATTCTTTCTTTCTCTCTCTCTTTCTTTCTTTCTTTCTCTTTTGTACACTTTCGTTCTCAGGACTGAGCTGGCCAACAACCGGTACTATCTTCTGGAAACGACAATGGTGGGTTTTACTCTCCCTTCGTTCATTTTATACAACCAACGTGTGTGCTCGTTCTCTTCTAGCCCTCGTGGAAAAATAAAAAGAATGAAGAGGAAGAGAAGGGAGAGAAGGAACAGTTAGCGAAGGGACGACAAAATATATATATACAGGGACTACGAAAGAGGAATGAACGACGAGGGCGTTCATAAAATCATTCGCGTTTTCGAGTATTCTACTTAACAATTCTAACGTTTCGAATTTATCGTAGGTAGAGAAACTTTCCTTCCCGACATTGGTTACCTTTCTCGTCATCATCTAGCTTACCGAATATCAATTGACAAATCGATATATATATATATGTATATATATGCGATCAGTGAACGGTGTACACCACACTACCACCACCACTACCACTACCATCTTTCTCTATT